TTAGGGAAAAAAAATGTTAATTGTTTTTTGATGTGAAATCTCTTCTGCCAGGAAAGTGGTGACACAGCTGGATGCATGTCCAACAGCATGGATAGGCGTTTGATGAAAGCCATGGGACTGTGTGGTGAGTCACAACAAGAGTAAACATTGTTTTAGCATAAAGTTTCATTATTTACCCTGCAAGGAGTGCATTTCTACAGCAGCTATTTAGTGTTAGCACTCTGTGGTGCGAATTGGCTGGATTGGTAGTGATGCACTGTCATGCCTTGGTGTATTGCTTTCCTTTTCGGAAAACATAGCATCCAGGCCCTTCTCTTTCTCCTTGGTTGCACTAAATGGTTGATGCAGACATGGCACATTAGAAAATGCTTCCCAGACTGTTCTATGTAAAACTTTTACTTTTGCTGTTGCCACAAATAAGGAGACACATGTCTTGGCCAAAGGCCTGGGGTAAATTCCCCTTTTTCACTTTGTTGAGCAGTTACATTCCCATTAGAAAGGTTAGCACATGCATTTTTAAATTTAGTCCAACATGGAAATAACTGAAGATCCTATCTGAAACATCTGCATGACTTTTCTCTGGAAGTTGTGGAAGCACCATAACTAGACTATAACCAGTCTGGGTACTTGGTATTTCACCCCAAAAATTAATTTGCATGTAACTGCATGTGTATATGTTCAGATTTTTATGCTTGATTTATTTTCTCATGGTGATCAACTTTCCATGAACTTTTTGAGTGTGATAATGAGGATCCATGATGCAAGAAGCAGCTCAGCATCATACTGGATGGTTCAAAGCAATGTGGCTTCAAGAGCAGAGGTGCTGCTCTGGTATTAGGGTACTGCAACATCTCCAAAATAAATAGGATTGAAATCCCCTTAGAGAAATTCAGAGTATTCCCTTCCTATGGAGATAAATAAAGCTCACCAGAGAAAATTATTCCAAGGTCTGAAGCCTCAAACTACTGGGCTCTTTTTGGCTGACAGCTCAGTCTTGGAGGAGTGACAAGCTACTGCAGGAATGCAAATGGGATGGTGCTGGTAAAAAGGTAACTGAGAGCCCTAAGGAAGGAAAGGTGTGAACTGCCCAGAGCTTTGAGCATGCCCTGGAGCTCCCAGAGCCAAACCTGGGAGACCTGGCACAGCATAAATGTGGGTACAGTGTCCACGTGTTCTGGTACAGCCCCAGGTGTGCCACTGCCCGAGTCCTCACCTGAGGCAGCGCTGCCCAGAGCTCTGATGTGCTGTGAGTTAGGGCAGCACTAACTTGAGGCTGCTCTGTCCTGGGTGCTTACAGGACAGAGCAGCTCCACTCCCTTCCCACGTGGGACATCTCTCACAGCCAGGAAGGAACTTCTGAGACAATCCAAGAGGTTCTCCACTGGCTTCATGGTTCCCTGGATGAATGCAATCTGTGGAGCCCACAGCAGATAGGTTTTGCCCACTGTGCCTGATAATGAGATCTCTACTAAATCACACCCAAATCAAGATTATTCCAAAGAACATATATTACTGAGGAGCATATGTTTCTGCCTTGTTTTATATACTCTTAAACATTAACCTCAATTGTTCCTGCAACATACATTCTTCCCCATTATAGGTCAAGTGCCCATTACTGACACACTCACTTTGCAGCTCCAAAATTATCTAATTACACATGAAAATGTTTCACTGCTGAACGGGTGCTTCCAAATATTCAAAATACAAAGGTTGGGAAGTTTTATTTGGTGCTAACAGCAGGTGCCAGGCTGAGAGCACTACACAGTGTGTAGATTATAGATTGTTCCTCTTGGAACATGTGGAACAATCCAGTTGCCATCCTCTGTTCCACTTGCTGTCTCTGCATTGTGCTGGGTTTTCTCTGTGGATGTCAAAGCCCAAGGATGCTACAGCTGTCCCACAGCTGACTCTGGAGGGAGGCTGTGCACCACAAGGAGTCTCGGGCTGGATGGCCCTGGAGTCCTGTTGACATCAGGGGGAGCTGAGCTGGTGACAGCCTGACTTCAGCTGCAAGGTGTGCTTGAGGATTGCCTGGTTTTTACTTAAGCCTTTTTACTGTGGAAGTAATTATCACTGCCATTCATCTCTCTGGATTCTGATGCTGCTGCAAAAAAATCTGCTGTGTGGTGCATTCCACCCAAAATCTCCTTATTCAGACCTGGCAGCTTGGGAGAATGACACAAATCTATGCATTTGGCTAATTCTGGAGGTCATCTTGGGAGCTGTTGTGGGAGCATTGCTCCAACTGTGCCCTCTCAAGGGAGGGAGGTAGTCTCTTCCTTGAGACAGCCTTTGTTTCATGCAGCAGCACAGCCTTCTCAGAACTGTGCTGGCAGGTACCACCAAACTCCTCCTCCTGTATTTTCTGGGATCTGCTCTGTTTCTGGTTTTGATGCTGCTGTATGAAGCTGTTGGTATCACTCAGATCAATGTACAACTTATTAAACTGGTTTAGGTTTTTTCACTCTTCTTTTTACTCTTTCTATAATTGCTTTGTCAAAAGCAACACTGATTCTTTCTACCAATTAATATGCACTCTTAGTAATAGGCTTTTTCATCAAGGAGAAAATCCATGAAATAACTGTTAAGTCTCTGATACTGTGTCCTTGGAGAAGAGACTCGGGAGGAAATCTAAGTCTCTTTTGGTGTGGCTGTTTTCAAGACAAAAAAAATTCCCGAAGTGTCAGCAAGGCTTGTAAAGGCAAATAGTAACAAAAACTAAAGTGTTTTGCCAAGAAGTTCTCTGTTGAATTCAGCTCAGATGAATGCTACATAGAAAAACAGTCTCAGGAAAGTATCTGCAGCATGTTAGCTGGATTTTGGGAGAGGAGCGTTTCAGGTATACGAGTAATGTCAATAGAGGTTAGGTTGTGGGGTTTTGGGGGGGTTTTGTTTGGTTTTTTTTCTTTTATTTTTGTCACCGAATTTTTTCCTAAAACTGTTTCTTTTTTTGGATGTTGTAAATACAGACTTCTTGTATGCCCCTGCACTTCAACTTGACTTGAGGTAAAGGTGATTTCAGAGTTACTGAAGAAGAAGGAGGCACACCTCAGCCAGGGATGCAGCAAAGTAAAAAGGGATGGTGGGGCAGTCCAGCAAATCTGCAGCATGTGCTTCCCAGGTACCATATGGGCCAGGATAAGGGCTGGGATGCCCAGAGTCAGGGGAGCTTTCCAGTGCCACAGAGCAGGACAGGAGTTCACTGAAGAGCTGACAGCTCTAGGAGTCCCCAGGGTTCATCATGGACTTGATTAGCAAGGTTTGCTCAGTAAAACCTTCAGTTACTGATCTTGCAGCTTCTGTACCCTATGGCACTTGTGGAGGAGGGAATGCTGCACCCCTTCCATCACCATTTCCTATCAGGGTCTCTTTTCTACTCAGCGTAGGGATTCTGAAATTATTTTGCTACTTATTTTCATGTTTACTTGTCTAACTCTGTGGCTTGGAACACATAGAACTCAGTGGGAGGATTCCAGATGACTTCAGTGGGATGTTCTGTTAATAACAAACTCTGACTCTCTTTATTAGTTCTTTATCTGCGGATCATAATGTTAAAAAACTGAGGGGAAGGAATAAAGATTATAATTTTGTAGCTGGTTTTCAGTTAGCTTCCAGGCTGATGGTTAGATGGCAATGAAAATACAAACTGCTTTATTTGTCCCATCAGCTCTCACCCTGTCACTGTATCCTGTTTAAAATCCTATGCACTGCAAGTTCTCAGTTTTCAAGGTGAAGAAATAAGTGTTCTGGAGTCTTTCTCATCTTATGTTACACGAGGCTACTGAAATATTGATCACATGCTTCACCCCATACCCAGCAAAAAAAGAATTTCCAGTTGGAGGTTATTGTGTGTCTGTGAGGGAGATATGATGGTACTGGCTGTCAGCAACTTAGTGCAGTAACTTTTAGAAATGCAAACAGAAGGGAGACAGTGTAATGCGGTAAATCAGCACTTGTTCCCTGGGCCTGATGGAGAAACATCTGGGCTTCAAAGCTGCTTGTGGAATCCAGTGCTACTTACTGTGAGGAAGGGCAATCTGCACAAACAACAGCTAAGGGCATGAAAGCAGTGCTTCCAAAGCAATGCAGAGCTGCTGAAATCCCTGAGGTCAAGCAGGGGGAACTCCTATACAAGAAATTTATTGGTTCAGTTGGAATAAGCCTCATTCCTGTTCCCTTGCTTGGCCTTGCTCAGTTGTGGTTAAATGAGGAGAGGGATGACAATCATCTGATTATCCTGCTATTGACAGTCTGTGGAACAGTTGGGAGCTCAGGCTTGTCCTCTTGCCTATGCCAGCTCCAGGGATGGGATCAGCATTTGGAAGGAGAAATAACATGAACCACAATCTCTGACAGGTGCAGTGGCTGTTCCACTGCTGAGTGTACCAAGAGAGAGCCCAGAATTGTCACTCTGTGGGCTCATCTCGCCTGTGTTCTGATTCATACTGCCCAAATTGCCTACCAGGAGAGAGCATAAATTTTCTCAGCAATTAATTAAATATGTTAATAAAGACTTCCTAGGTACAGGGTGCAAGTTCTGCTTCAGATGAAAAAGTTAACTGTGTCAACTTAAAGCAGTCTTTGATTTGTTAAGGGAGATCTGGTATGGGGGAAGCTAATGCTCAGTGCTGCTGCCCTGTATCTATCACTGCCACCAGTTTATCCCAGCTCTCCTGTGATCTTTTGATCCCAGAGTTCTTGGATTTTGTGCCATATTATAACCAAGTCAAATTTAAAACTGTATGTGTAAACCAGCAATCTTTTCCATGACAATTAGTAGGAGAGTTTTAATGGAGCTGCCGTGATGAATGACTCTTGTAGAGAAATATTACTAATGTTTCCCTTTCCTATTAGTAGGTATTCTTTTCTTCAGACCTTATTCCTTACGATAGCAGCCAAACCTCAATATGTTATTTCTGAACTCCAAGTATACCGGTATGTCTCCTTGGTGTTTAGCTCTCTCACTACACTTCAGGTCAACACATTGATTAATCCAGACATTGGATAAAAGATAGAGTTTATTCAGGATTAAATACTCATTTATAAATGGAATATGTAACTTGTTTTCTGAAGTCTGTGATGTGTTGGCTTGTTACAGATTTATCCAGAACACCTGAAAAATGACTGGACTGTGTTAGCCAAGACAATGTTTTCACATTACAACCTTATTATTCATAGAATCATAGAATGGTTTGGGTTGGAAAGGATCTTAGAGATCATCAAATTCCAGCCCGCCTGTTGTGGGCAGAACACCTTTCACTAAACCAGGTTGCTTAGAGCTCCAGCCACTTAACTTGCTACAGCCACTTAACTCCATTCAAAGTATTTTGCGGTCCGATGCTCATTTTATGACTTTTCCATTAACCTCTCCCTATCACCCCTGAATAAATGGCTACTCAGGTTTCTACAAGTAAGGGCATTTCGTCTCTGTTGTAATGGCTTCAGGTGTACAGCTGCTCTGTAGGATATGCTCCATTTTGTCTGCAGCATATCTGTAACACAGTATCTGCTATTGCTTTAGAAAAAGATGTATTACATTTTCCATGCAATAACTAAAGTGGCTTAAGTAGATGGGGTTTTTCCATGGGGGAGAGATAAAGTTACTTAAACAAATTATTTAATTTTACACGGGGTCCTGTATGTTTTTCCCTAGCAATCAGTGACAGTTCTGACTAGGGAGACTCCCCAAAGTTTGTACTGGTTAATCAGTGTCACCGCACTGACACACAGGGGCATTAAATTCAGCTCTGACTTTCACATTTTATAAACTGCCTCACCTGAGTCAGTGAATAGCACCACTGTAGCCTATGCAAGTTTTACTTTGCTCAGAGCATAAGACAGAACAGAATCCATCACAACAGTCGGGAAAAAAGCACACACAAACACCAGGGCCTTCTCCTTCAGCTTCGCCACCATGTAACGTGCCTTGGGTGCAGGAGATGTTAGAGCATCCACCATAGCATTGACAACCTCATTGCCATTAGTGCTTCCCTTACTGAGGAGGCTGTTGAAAAAGTTTGCCCACTCTTGAACGTACTCCTTGTTGTAAACAGCCTTTTCCTCTTCACTCAGTTCACTCCAGATCTCTTCGGCACTGAGCGGTGGCTGAATTTTTGTAGAGCATGCGTAATTTCCTGGCTGGATAATACAGACCTGCAAGCGAGATGTAAAACTTATCAAGGTGAAATCAGTCATTGTGAATTCAATTAAATACTATAGTCAGTAACACAGACCAAAAGCTCTCTACAGACAGACAGAAAATGCTGCTTTGTTGAAATTTTAACGCTGGAAATTTGACTGAAATCACATATATTCCTGTGAAATATTTAAGATTGCAGAGGTACTTTATTCTGACTTTCTCATTTTGCTCTGATGTTAATGTTCTTGTTTTGACTACTCAGCACACTCTCACAGAATGCAATAGAGCATCTTTGATTGCTGTACAATGGTTAACGGTATAAATGTTTTGACAATACTGAGATAAAGCATTTCAGTATGACTTTGATGTTTCCAAAGTGGAATATTTTGGATTTTTCACTCAGTGGAGAACCTTGCAATTGATAATTTTTGACCCAATTTGGGACAAAAGAAGGTACCAAAGAAAATTATCAGGTCCTGGGGAAAGAAATGCTGTTTTCTCCAAGTAGGTGTAATTAAAAGTAAACTAGGTCTTGTCAGTGAAGAACAGGGGGACCAAAGGGTCCTGCTTTTCCTCTCAGTGAAGCCATCAGCAGATTTCTGTAGATTTCTGCACATAGATTTAAATGAAAGCACACAAGTCCTTTGCTGCTCCACATTTTCCTTGTGTGTTGCTGCTGTTCTGCTGAGTATTCCAGGGAGTTTTGGAGCAGGCTGAGCACTCACAGGACACATGCTGTTTCTCAGATAGCAGCAGCCTTGTTCAAACTGTTTGTAGATATGCAACATTAAAAGCTCTGTGGTATTTAACTGACCTGATTTCTAAAGACTGCAACACAAGGTGAGGGAAACCCATGCTGAGCTGTGTCAGAGACTTGGGGATCTGACAGGCATTCTCTGGCAAGTCTGTGATGATATAAAACCCTGATGCTGTCACTCAGCCACCCAGCCCAGCTGTGTCAGACCCTGCCCACTGGCCTGCATGGTGATGGATTCGCTGCTCTCAGAAGGACTGGGGTGCAGGTCCTATGCACAGGGAGAAAGAAGGGATGCAGACCAACCCCAGTAGAGGGATGATGTGCACAGCTGGAACAGCTTCATGCAGCCTCAAGCAGGTTTGTCACAGGGCATCCTCGGGAGCCCTCCCTTCTGGTGCTATTGAAAAAAGTGTTTGGTATCAGCCAAATAGTAAACTTCCCATATTTATTGTTAACAAAGAGGGGTTGGAAGCTTCCTTTTTTTGGAGTTGGCTTGAAGAGAAGGAGAGATGGCTTGGTTGTTGCCCTTCCCACATTTTCTGTAGCCTTTCTACTGGAAGACACACGCTTTGTTTCCTGTAGGCTGTCAGCTTGCCTGGCTAGAGTTCAGTGGGACAGAGCCATAGCTCCATCTGCTCCTTGCCACCTCTGTGCAGCTTTCTCCTGAAAGGACAGAGAGGACAACACAGCAGTGCAAGGGAGCACAGCAAAAAGGGACCATGTATTTTGTAGGCTCTCCACAGGGCAGGTTCTCAGGCAAATGCCAGCCAGCATCTTGCATACAGTGAGAAACAGAAAAATACCTCTCAAAGATACTCCAGAAATGTTTGTCAGCCTGGCTCACTCAGTTATGTGCTGGGACTACTGCAGAGGTGGAACAGGAAAAATCCCTAAACAACCTGAGTAGCTAACCTGTTAAACTAAGCCCTTCCATGCGTTTGAGATTATCCTCAGCTAATCAGCAGAAATCCTCATCATGCTGTGTGGTATTAGGATTTGTAAAGTCACTGGTATTTTACAGCCCCTCGTATTTATCTGACAGGGGTGGCTAATAGATGCATAGCTGTAGTATTTTCCAACACAAAGCTTCTGAACAGCGCTGTAAGTCTGTGTACATAAACAGTACACCAATGCAAACCTGACAGGTAAGACTTCGAGTGCTTGAGAAAAGTGTTTCAGCAGTAGAGTGACTCCAAAGAAAAAGCCCAGTGAAGCTACTTAGGGATCTAAGCTTCAGGTTTGACTATTAGAGTTGCTTAGGGCACTAAGAGCACTCTTAGAGCCTCTTAGGTTAAGAGAATAAAAACATAACTACTCTGCACAATGCTGCCTCTTTCAGTGCAGCTGTTCTCACAAAAAGCAAGGAGTTAGTGTTGGAAGAGGAGAGAAGAACCCCTCAGGCAAGTGACAGGCCTCACTCTGGCTGCACAGCACTCGCCTCTGGGCTCTTTGCAGCCACCCAGGGAACATTTGGGTTCCTCACTGCTGGTGGGAGCTCAGGCAGGCCTGTGTCAGGAAGCTTCTCCACTGCAGGGGATGTGAAAGTTTCAGTGCTGACACACAGACTGTAACCCAGCAGCTTCTCAGAACCAAAAACATCCCCCAGGACTGCTATTCCCAGTGATTTCCAGGTGACTGATTAGCCACAGAGAAACCAGCTCTTTCCAAAAGGAAGCTGCATCCAGGAATGCATTTCTGAGCTTTTATGTTTGTTACTTTGTTTCACATAACTCATTACATCACTTACCTGGTTTCCAGGTTCTTGTTACATCACTTACCTGGACACCAAACTTCTTCATTTCCAGTCTTAAAGCATCACAAAATTTTTCAATAGCTGCCTTGGTCATAGAATAAATGCCATTTCCCAGAGTAAAATAGGCAATGATGCTGGACATGAAAACAATACGCCCTGGAAAGAAAACAGTGCAAATAACATAACTTCACTCTCAGTCTTTAGCATGGAATTGATTTGCCTCAGTCTTGAGCTGCTAAGAATGTGGTGTTTAGCAGGAGACTGTTTTACTGCCCACTGTGCCAAAACTAGGCAGTGTCAGTGTGCAGTCCCAGCACAAATGGGCACTCAGCTCTGCTGAGCAGAAAATCTTGCACAAAAATATTCACCTAGTGACAGATGTTGGACTAGACAAAGTGTAACACATTCCCAGTGTGCTGCTTATTCCTTCTGAGCCCGAGATAGGATGAAAAAGATGGAAACAAAGCAGAGCCCTCAAGACTGAAAAACAGTAGTAAGACACTGTGCTAATAAGAGGAGAAGGACTGGAGAGGGGAGGTGATTTTCCCTGAGGTGGATTATATGGTTACTAATACCAGTTTTTAGTGTGCTAATAATGTCTCTGCACTGAGACCAGCTTCTGTAACTGTGCATATGAAGTCCAAGCCAGATTGTACAGTGGTAAGCTTCACCAAGGAGATATGACTTGCCAAATGTGTGCAGGTTTGTAATACCTCACAATGATTTCCCTGATCTGTGCTGCTTTTCCTCCTTTCGAACTCCTGCTGAGTGCAGGCATGCCTTAAATAGCAGAGATTCCTCATGTGAGGCACTGGACTGTGGTTCATTTCCACTGTTTCCTTGCAAACTTCTGTCACATAGTCCTACCATGGGGTAAGGAATGTCTGAGTGTGGATATACAAATACCAGAGGTGAGGGAGAAGATGGTCTTGTCAATGACAATACAGAGAAGCAGCTGCACTTCTGCTGCTGCCACAGATGCAGATAACATCTGGGCCCCAGATCTCACCAAATGGAGTAGGGTTGGGGGATATCAAAAGGTATCATGGGAATGCAGTGAAATCTGTCATTCTGAATTACAGCATCCCAAATAAATCTTATCTAGAGTAAGAGGAAAATAACTACCAGCTTGCTGATCAGGATGCCCTATCAGCTGGCCTGGCCAGCTGGAAAAGATATGGGGAAATGTTGCTCCTCTCAGGGTAGAATGTTTAAGTCTTAGGCTGGAGGGCATTAAAACCCTTTACAAGTATTAATAATACTTTGTGTTTCTTGGAATAGGTGCACATCCATGGCAATAAGCAATGGGTCGGATCACCTCTATCTCCTTTGTCCAGTAGCTGAGTGGTCTGGGGCTCACACCCAGGATGTGGGACGCCTCATTTAACTTCTCTTCAAAGTGCTTAAGGGAATTGAAAATCAGTATCCTCAGGAAATGTTCCAATGTCGGTAATTCAAGCTTTTAATTTGGAGAGGTCACTTGTGGCCCCCAAGCACATAAGCTTTAGCTGTCCTGGTTGTTCCTGCAAAGAAGGCGACAGCTAATCTAGGATTCTTCCTGGGATTCTTCCTAGAGTGCCTTGGCCTCCTCTCCTACATGGATGGTACTTGAAAATGGAGTGCAGGAGTAAATCAAGGAAACACTGACAGCCTTGGGAGAGATACAAAATGTTCCTTTGAGCTAAGGTGTGTGTGCAGCCATCCAGACCCAAACCTTCTAAAGGTTTATGCATGTGCTTAATATTGCACACACTGTTAGTCCTTCTTGCTTCAAAGTAACCCTGTGCAATTCATGGGGTCAGAGAAATGCCTCTGCTGGATCAGCATCACAGAGTTTCAGCAGTAAGTAGGACATGACAGGGAAAAGAGATGTCTCCCTGTGTAATGGCCACATAATACACTCACTGGGTACACACAATAGCACATTCTTCTACAAAAACACATCTAGCTTGCAGTATTTAAAGGTTTCTTTCTTCTTGTGTCAGAATATCATCTACCAAAGGCAGCCAAGCAGAAAGAAGCAGAATAGCCCAAAAAAAGGGATGCTTTTATCTTACCAAGTTTGTGTAGCAGTGACACCTGGGGTTTCCAGATGAAAACTACCCCTTCCTGTGCTTGATGCTGCAAATCCTCACCCCAAAGAGCCTACAGCCAGAACAGACAAGGAAGAGGGGATCTTCCTCCCCAAACACAGATGGAGACAGGTAGGGAACAAACTGCAAAGCACCCAAGACATGCTGCCATGCTGCAGAGGGCTATTAAACATTTACTTCTCAGAAAGGACAAAGCCCACATTTAGGGAAGTTCATGCAAATACATTTATCCCACTGGATACCCATGCACCTCTACATACTTGAAGCTTCTTGCCCAAGATCACAGAGGCTCCACAGAGCTGGAACTGGATGTCTCTAGTTCACCTCTGTAGGGTCATTCCTCCTCTCCTAATTGCCAAACAATAAAATTGTAAAGCCTAAATAATAAAATTAGGCAGTTTAATGGATCTTTGTGTTTTCTGATTGTCAGTGCTTTAAAAGGCTTGCCTGGGCTTAATGATCTATGGTAAACATTCTTCCTCTTTTTTGAGTCAAACACTGAGAGAAATCCTTATTTATAAATACTTTTCTTCTATGTGCTGCAAAGACAAAATCTTTAAGGATATTTTTTCCCCTTTATGGCTTCACCCTCTTTTCAGGATCAAGTTGCTCTTTCAGGCCACACAGAAGGAGGCTGTCATTTCAGTTCAATGAAAGACAATTAAAGCCTCTTTTATAGATGTTAAATTACCCTGATTATAGTAAGCTAATTATTCTACAACTCTAAATAACAGTGGATTAGCATTACCCTTGTATTTCCTTAGAAGGGGAAGAAATGCCAGGGTTGTCCTGATGCTCCCAAGGAGATTCACATCTGCAAATTTTTCATATGTCTCCATAGGCAGCCACCCTGTCTCACCAAATGTTGATATTCCTGCATTGTTGACAAGGCCCCAGAAACCTATGGAAGAGAATTGACTCAGCAAGCACCTTTAACTGCAAAGCAACCACTGTTAGATAAAAAAGCAACACCACTGATTCAGACCCTTGAAAGAAAATGTATAGTTGTGTAACACCTTTGTCTTTTCCACTTTAAGGTGCAGGCATGTTTTGTTTAGTAAAGGAATGCCACTTTGGCCATAATCTGGGCTAAATGGAATCACAGAATAGTTTGGGCTGGAAAAGCCCTTAAAGATCATCCAGTTCTACCCCCACCCCTATGGTCAGAGACACCTTTCCTATAAGTCTCAGTGCTATTTAATAATTGCTCACTTTATAGTTGTCTTAAGATATTTATGAATAACATGATCTGGGAGACTACATCTTACTGCCAGTGTGGTGTACCATGATATTTTAATTACTTTAATCTCACTGTGTGCTATGAGAAGCTTTGTGAAAATTACATTAAGTGGTCTAAAGGCTAAGGCATATTATTTTCAAAGTTCCTGACTAATTTAAGAGCCTAAGTCTTGCATCTTTTTCCAAGATTTGAGCTCTGATTTCCTCTGAAATCAGCTACAATCAGGTACATGGCTGCAACACTGGGTAAAGTAATCAAGCAGGGTCAACAGCTACAGTATTTTCAAAATTTTGTACTTTTTAACAACTTTTTTGCCCATGTAATGACAGGTTTTGGTGCTAAGGAGAAAGATGTCAGCGTTTACAACCAGAGGGGTGTTGGCAGTGCCGCTTGTTGTGCCTGAGCTCAGTGACAGGAAGCTGAAGCCCTTTGGCCCAAAGGCACAGCAGGTCTCCTGTGAGCCAGTGCTAACAAGCTCAGCTGTGGAATGCTGTGTTGGAGTAAGCAGCATTCACAGGCAGCAGCTCACAGGCTGCCTAAGTGCTGATGAAGCTGTGCTGGGTTGTGCCTGCCTGCACGGCCCCTAACTGTGGATGGCCAGCAAAGCAGGGAGTGACACACTGCTTCTGGAACATCTCTGTTCCTGTCCTCAGTCCTTACTGACAGCAGCATAACTGAGGAGTACCAGGGTAGCCTGACTGGCACTGAAACAGCCGAATTTGCAGCTTACTTCTGCCAGCCTTGACAATTTTGCTCATGCATTTCTTTTAAGGAATCCTTGTAGGTGTCCAATGCAAATAATTTTTTTGTCATGCCTTCTACAGGACCTCTGAGCCTGGGTTTTTGGAGAGACAGAGCAGGTTTTAGTGCCTCTCTTCCTCTGGACACATGAGTTTGGTGCAGGGGTGATGCTGACCCAACTATAGCCTCCTGTACCTGTGGCAGCAGAGTTATTCTCAGGAGACTTCTGATCACCTTAGTCAAGGCACTGCAGAAACCTTTGGGCTGAATCTTTTTCTTTCCGATCTCTGACGAAACTACTGCAATAATGTCCTGGTATCTTGAAATACCCATATCTCATGGGTCCTTCCAGAGCCCCACCAAGAAGTGCCAATATCAGATTTCATTCAGAACAGTAGTTAGAGATGAAACAGAAAATTTTTGGAATTAGTTTGTAAGCAGACCTCTGTAAGCTTTTATACCATATATATACACTACTGTATTACCTAATGAAGTTGGTCTTTAAACAGAGAAAGAAACTGATTTCTTTTAGTGAATGTCTCATTTGCAGGGCAAAATACTCAAAAATAGGAATTTACCACACAGAACTTTGATAACTCTATCCTCCAAAAAGAATCAATCACTATTCAGCAGCCCATCAGCCAGCAATTGTTGACAGTGGACCCCTCTTACAACTTTAGTTGCAGACAGCCTGCTGCCCTAGTAATGCAGCAGTTTCCTCTGGACTTACTTCTTTTCCATGGCCCCAAATGCTATCAAGCAGAAGAGAGGAAATGGACTTTAAAATTGGCCATGGAATTGGGCATCCTAGACTTCTTTCTTGCACCCGCCACTGAACTCTTTTTCCATGTCTTTCCATCATCCTCTGGCTTTATTTCTCCATCTTAATATGGAACCCAGCCACATGGGACTTACCTCCCCATAAAATGCTTCCAGATCCATGCCTTAGAGAGCCCTCTGTAGAAGATAATTATCAATATTTTTGTACTTGCACGTGATCCGCTCTGCAGACAGGCTGAGTGACTGCACACCTCATCTGTTTCTGCTCAAAGCTGGAGGTTTCTCTACTCAGGGTTATTTTTATATAACCTAACTCTAACACAACCCAAACTAAAGCCGAAAACCACTGCAAAAGCTGCTTCCTGATATTTTCAGCTTTACCTTTTCTAATTAAAAAAAGTCATTTTGCTTCTGCCACTGCACCCTGTGCAGCACAGCAAGAACACTTACTTCATATACACCTAATTTCATCAGGCCTTCAGAAACACAACCATTAATCTTTAGACAATTTATTTTCTTCCTCTTTCTCTAAACTGTGAAATCCAGAATTTAGCTTGAAAGGCTTAAGTTTTCTCTCCAGCCATTTGCCTCATGTGCTTCAAAGCCTCCAGGTGTCTGCTGGTGAGGCCAGCCTGCGTATTTTGCGTATCTGGGAGCTCACAAAATAATGGCTCCTTCCTTCTGTGTAGAGGCCAAATCAAAAACCATGAGGAGAAAAATTGGCCTGAGTTAAACTAAAACAGACTTGTGTTTAACTTTTAAGTTAAACACAAAAAGATACTTTGTACCCAGTCAGCTCAAAACACTTAGTCTGCCCTCAAGCAAAACATACTGTTTCTTAGAACATTTTGGCATTCCCAAATGGGAAATGTTCTGGTATTTTCCAGAATGTTTCCTGTCACTTTGTTTAGTTGAATCAATTCACAAAAATTCCACCCAAGTAGCAAACAGTTCATTATTCCCTTATGCTATTTTCTAAGAATATTTCCCGCTTCCTGAGAAACAACTTGCCCAGCTCTGTATTCAGAGTACTTGAATCTGCTTTGGTCTTTCTTTCCTGAAATGTTTGTGATAAAAACTAATGCTATAATGTGCATTCAAAATATATTGTAAATTTGCTTATCCAAATGCAGCTCAGGTGCATTTAGGTGCAGCCTAGAAAAACCAGATGAAAATCCTGAAGGAGAAGGCACAAGAATTAAGCAGCTGAAGGAGAGTGATGCTGCATTTCCTCAGTGTTCATGCAGAGCCACATTTGGAAAAAGCAGGTGATGTTTGGTGTGTTAGACTGTCAAAACAGAACTCAGTCCAAACACAGTTCATGAAGAGAGGTCTTAGACTATGCTACAGCAGGCAGGGAAAAAATAAACTGGAAAGCAGGACTGGATGTCACAGAGATTTTCACTGATCTCTGTGTTGGGAAAATGGATCCTGACAACAAAGATTAAAAGATACAGCTATGGATCTAAGAATCACATTAGGAAACCAAACTTAAGATTAGTGAGGCTTTCTGAAGAACAGTAGCTCTCATATAAACCAAATAATTTCTACTTCACAATATGGTGACCAAAAGGCACATATCCAAAGTCCTTATTGAGGTCCAAAAGATATATGGCATTTTTTCCAGAAACTCTTAAAATCCTCTTCCTATTAAAGTTAGTCCAGCTGCAAGTGTGCAAAACCTTTTGAAAATCAGGTTGTTTCTGTGTTGCTGCCAACACTCAGATAATACCTGAATTATACCACACACTGTAAATTCCAACAGGTATTCTTGGGATCAGTGATCTTTGGAGATTCTGCTTTAAGTCTGAGCCAATATGAAAATGACAGGGTCTTTCCTGATAGATTTCAGACCAATACTAAAGGAAACTAAGCAGTGCAGGGTGGTAGCAGGCCAGATGAGATTCCTGAGTTATATTTACATCCATTCATGAGTCACCATCCTTTGCTTGGAATATTATGCTGAAATTCTCTTCACTGTAAGGATAATCTATTTCTATAGGGAGTCTGGACTAAAATATTGTACCATGTGTGAATTCCATTAATACTAAATCATAATTAAGTGTAAGAGAGTACTTAATAACCTTTGAGTAGGAAGTGGGACTAAAACTAATATCCCTCTGTTCCAGCTAGCTAATGTCACCCACTCATAGCAGGCAAGAAAAGGAAGAGAAATTCTGATTTGAAACAGAAGAAAATCAGAAAAATTCTGAGTTTGCTGTAGAGACTAACAGAATTGTAAACCACCATGCTCTCAAGTCACAGTCTATTTCTTATTAGAAATTATACTCTTGTATAACAGAGAGAGAGAAGATTATGAGAAGCTTGGGCTAGTTATAGTTAACAGCATATAGGAGATGTAGGGAGAACTGTATTTTGTTCCTGATACTCTGATTTTATTCTGATATTTTACACATTTTTGTGTACATTTTATACCGAATAGTCTACTTAAATTAGAAAGTCTCTTTTAGTCTTTTGTCAGTCTACTTATCCTGGGCCCAGGAAAAAGGCAGGTTAAGGTGATTTAAAAGAAAGTTTATCTGCCAAAAAGCCCACTAGTCTGAGATGCATAGTCCATGGAAAGGATGATACTATAATCATAAAGAATATTTAATCTTTACCAGGATTTACTCTGAACTATCTAAACACAGGCATGCAAAAAACTATCATCATGTAACTGCTTTCTCTTCATTTTGGTCCAGCTTCTGAGGTTTCATTCAGAGTCCGTGGCCTTTGAACTCTTACTATTAGGTCTGGGATTATTGAAATTACTATTTCTGGAATGATACAGGAATGTTTTGGTGATCTGAATTTAGAAGTCCAGAACCAATATGATGTACTTAAAATCCTTCATACCTGTGTGAAACTTATTATAGTTAAAATGGCAAAAAGGAGGGAACAATCCCTAAGCAATACCTAGTGGTTCTCAGGGATCTGAGAAGGTTCCTCTTCCCAGTTTCTGTGGGGAGTTGCTGAACAGAATTCTCCTGTTCTGAGGGAGGGGGAAGGAGAAAAAGAGAAAACTGTCCCACATTACTTACAAGCTAACAGGGACATACAGAACGCTGCTAGCAGCTACTTAAAAGGTGGATGCTTTCACAGCTTTTAAACAACATAATGCATGATCTACTATAACCTTCAGCACAATCCACTGGATTCCTACATCAGTTTGAGCTTTTTGTGCAAAAATCAAAAGCAGACTTTTTTATCTGTCCAATGCTTATTTCCAACAGTCTACTGGATTCACCACCCACTCTTTGCTCTCCTCATTACAAATGTCGGAGCTGCACTTGATTTCCACTTTGGTCAGGACTCTGCTGTAGGCCCTGGATGTTGCTCTCTGTGATCCAACCAGGGAAAATGTCCTGGAGTTTCACCACTGAGGGTTGTTTAACTGTGGGACACTGAGGCACATGCTTTGGGTAGCAGGTAACATGTTCGGTGTAGTCACACACTTTTCTTACCTTCTAGGTTCTTTCAGAACATAAATGCAATTACAAATGGTTAAGAATTATCTTTTCTAATGAAAAAGAATTTAATTAAACACAATCTTTGACCCAAATATAAAAAAATTACAATTCCTATATTTAACAAATAAATTGGCTAATATGAGAGCTAACCTGTTTAATCATGAAACTGAAACTGTTTCTATAAAGTTAAAATACCAAAGAAAACAACATACCTATTTTCAGAGGTGCCAAGAACGAACACTACTGAAGTATTTTGCTTATAGTCTGCATGAGCATTGCCACAGTTTCCTTTGAGAAAAAAATATTTGTGCCCCTCTATTTTTGAAACTATGAAGACTTGTAGTCTTAGTCCATTAACAGCAGACATTAAAATAACTCCTTTGATTCTTATTAAATAAAAGGAAGAATACTTGATAAATGTGAGTTTCCCCATGTGGCCTATGTGCTACCTGGATCTATAAAATCATTTTTTCTTTGCTGCCTTTGCAGAATACCCTCAAAATTCTGCAGCAGCAGAGCTGCTGGAGAAAGGTTTCATAAAATCTGTGTGCTTGCCCAGCCCAGTGTGGCTGGTGTGAGGGCCCGAGTGCCAGCCCAGAACAGCACTGTGCATGTGCTGTGTGACTGCTGCATTCCTCACCAGCCTTGCTAAGCGCCTGGATGGGCCTGGAACTGCTCTGAAGGCACATGCACAGTCTGCAAGCAGCAAAGACAATCCCACGAGTTAGTGCTGACTCTGGACTCCAGGGTCTACATGGCAGCACGAGCACGACCACTGCAGGACAGCGTAAGTGTCAGAATTGCAGGATAAAGTATGTGAAACCCAGAGTTCCAAGTGACCTGGTCCCCAGGGAGCCTTTAAAGGCTTTTGGGAGACACTTGTGTTTATCTGCAGGTTGAGGAAATGCCTGAGAGGGCAAGGCTCTGCCTTTTAGTAAGATAAGGTCAAGATCAACCACAAATACATGTGCTTAATGAGCAATGTCTAGGCTTTTTCTTCCTTCACTTCTCATTCCATCCCCCTCCCAATGAGATAATGAGCCAAGCAGGCAGAGACCTTGCATTTCCTTATCTCTCTGTGTGCCCCAGTCCCCACTTTTATTCCCTGTATAAGCAGGAAGTGTTTATCTGTGATCTGGAGGGAATCTCACTTCTGAGCCTGAGGAAATGTGCTCTGCACCAAGTGTATCCCACAATTACACTGGATAATTCCCACCCTGCAGTTCCAGTGGGAAAGGAGGTAACTGTGGCCCCATCACCTGTGCTGGGGTGATAACTGCTAAAGGGATAACCCAGGATTTAGGTTGTCTGCAATTATTCTGGAGCTAAGTCTATCCAGTCCCCTGGGTGCACACTCCCTGTAGGGTGTATAATTGACAGGTTTCCCTTTCAGTAACCTCTCCAGGGACTAGCTTGACAAGCCTCAAGTGCTTCCAAGAAGCAGCTGCTTTGGTATGGCACAGCAGCTGCCCTCACTGCGTTTCTTGTTCTATTTCCTCTTTCACAAGAGGCATATTCTATTTTCTCTTTCCCAGAAAGGCATCAGTCCCATCCCTCCAATGCCTGCACAGTTGTTTTGCGCTTTCTCTGCCCTTTGTGCCTTTGGGTACCTGCAGAGGGGCTCCAGGGACACCCTACTCAGGGAGTTCCTCTCCCGGTGGAAAGGTGAAGCTCCCCGGCGGTACACTGGGCAGCGCACCCGCCTTCCCCAGTCGGCACCTTCGGACAGCCCCCAGTCTGTGAACGCACCAAGGGATTTTTGATAAAATCGCGCCGTCCTTACCAATAGCGGTAAGCGCACCTAGCCCATCAGCGACGATGCTCGCTACCCTCACGCTGTGACAGTCCAGTGACCCTCTCAGGCAGCTCCCCGCCAGCAGTCCCGGGCGAACCGAGCCGCCCGCTTGGCGACACCGTGTCCGGCGGTGTCTGAGCTGCCGCTCCCCGCCCGCGGCCGCCCCGCCGCTCACCTCGCTCGGGCAGGTGGCTGAGCACCAGCTCCTTGGCGGCGCGCACGTCGCGGGCGCGGGTCACATCGAGCCGCAGGACGCGCAGGCGGCCGGCGCCGCCCGCCTCCCGCTGCAGCCGCCGCGCCCCGTCCCCGCCGGGGCTCAGGCAGCCGGCGAACACGGTGAAGCCGAGGCGGTGGAGGCGGAGCGCCAGCAGGTGCCCGAAGCCGCTGTCACAGCCCGTGATGAGCACGGCCCGCCCGGCCGGCTCCAGCCGCGCCGCCCCGCGCCGGCACAGCCGCGCCAGCAGGAGCAGGAGCAGGAGCAGGAGAGGGGCCGCTGCCCACATCCCGCCCGCGCCGCCACGGCCCCGCTGTCTGGCAGCGAGGGAGGAACGCAGAGCCGCGGGCAGTGCCCTCCCCGCCCGGCATCCCCTCCCCAGAGCAGCGGCCGCCCGCAGGCACCGCCCCGCCCCGCGGCGCACGGGGAGCCGGGGATCGCGCTCCAGCCCCTCCGGGAGGCGGCATGCTGGGGAAACCCGGGCCTTGGGAGGGGTTTCTCCCCACTGGGGTGTCCCCCCAGTTTTAGTTTCCAAAAGAAAGCGCAGGCTGGAAGCATCGTGCCGTGGTCAGCAGGAGCTTCGCCGGCGAAAGGGAGCTGGGTTATGCCGAGATCCATTGGTATGGACAGTTCAGCTTCCCTGCTCTGCTGAGTTTACACCGTCCCGCCACTATAGACTGGCCGCAGGGTAGAAATGAAAGCAGCCATGAGTGTTTCTAGATCGGTGGGGATTTCTAAAACAGCTCTATTATTATGTTATAGTTTCTGTATCATATGTTCTATATTACATAGCAGTATTAAATTGATGTGGGTTTTTTTGACTCGGGTCTATGACTATGACTGTTGTTATCTCAAGGGTGCCTACATTAGCCCATGGTGAAGGAAAATGTCTGTTTCATGTAGGCTAAAGTGACAGTTATGCATTGGTGAAGAAAAGATCCCTGAGAGCTACAATTACAGGAGAAATGTGATTAGACAGTGTTTTCTATGCCCTTTCTTTTGTCTGAGCAACTCTCCAGGCAGCTATTGAAAGTGATAGTATGTCATATCTGGTCATATCTGCCTCCTCTGAGTAAAATGAAATGACTGAAAGAACCAAATGCCTTTATTAATTGTGATTCAAAGTTGGCTTGTGAAAAACACGAAGGGGGCAGTCATTCATTGACATATACACAAGAGCAGAGGAAGCAGCAGGTCTTAACATGCACAGAGAAGGTTCCAAATATTTGCTTAAACTACATCCCTGTGGCTCTCCAGTTAGCCCTGTTTATATTTAGTGAACAACCTGTGTCTGGTTGTGGCTGATGGGTTTCTGAACTGGTGTTGCCCTGCTGTCCATGAGTCTCCAGAAATCGTGTGGCCCCTACAGTCAGCTGTGTTTTGTGTTAGCTTGGGGATACCTTTGCACTGACATTGAGTTTTTAATGACATCTAAAGGAAAAAGAAAATAATTGTTGCTTAATTTGCTTTTCCAAGGCCCAAGGCATTCCTGTGTTTTTACTCTCATTGCCTGCACCTCTGCCTAGGTTTATTTCAGCTTTAAATTGTTCAGTTCTCTCCCTCTCGTCTGTGCTGCTCAGCTCTCCATAGGTATTGCATAATAGGACTCAAAGCCTCAAGTGGCCTGGGAAAGCAGGTTATGCTTTCCTGCTGGCAGACAAAGTAGGACATGGAATGGTAAACCACAAAGAAGATGCCCAGATATTTGTCCTCAGTAGGATTTATTTGATCATGTTCTATCACACTGGGAGATGCTGCCGCTTTTCAGCCTTCAAAAGATCACTCAGTCTTCTGTGACTACATGAGTCACAAAATTTTGTCTTTATACTAACAAAATAATTATGCAACCCTCAAAATCACGAGAGCTGGTAACAGGCTGTCCTCCAGCCACCTTCGCTGTCTGGTTCCCTCTAGCATAAAAAGGCAGGGAGGGATTCCAAATTCTCCTCCTCCATACCTCCTACCCCGCTCTCGTCCACGTCTGCCAGTCTCTCCTCTCTCAGCTTTTGCATCCAATTAATAAGATAAGGATCACAGGCAGTGACAAAACCATTCATTTGAAGACTAAGAGCTGACCCAACTAACCTCTGAATTTTATGCTGCCTCTGTTAAAAAAAAAAACTTCTAATGGTGTTAAAAAGGTGGTACACAAATGTGACACACTTCCAGCTGAGAACAGGAGCTGTATGTTGTCAGAGCAATGGAATAATTTAGGCTGAAAGTTGTGGATTACAACTGTGTCCTTCACACTTAAAAACAACTTCATGACTACATAGTCCAGGAAATGAGACCACTTAGGTCTCCAGTGCAACACATTTGCCGTAACATTTATTTATTTATTGGAATTCTTTTCCTCGGGTTTATAGTATTCTGTTCCTAACTCAAATATATACACATATGTGTACGCACACATGCACATGCTTGCATGGTAGTGTGTACTTTGAATTTATGACTCTGCTTTGTCTAGTTTCTGACATCTTTCCCATCTTTAGGACTTATTTTAATTTTAAAAATGAAGTTTTTATCTCAATCTATTCTACCTCTTATGCAATTCCAGTTAGCTGTGGTTTACCTGTAACAAGTCTTAGTAAAAGCTTGGATTCTGAGGAAGTTGATGAGGAAATGGAAGACACTTAGAGACTGATGCTGATGGGAATCTGGATAATTCTGCTCCCAGAATATGCCCAGGGACCTTCAACTATTCGTAAGAGCATTTCTGGCAACAGCAACCTCTGAAGCTTTTGCTTCAAAGCTTAAAGCTTTATTCTGTGTCACTGTAATTTTTACAGTGTGAAATAACAAGTTTCTCTGGGAAGGCATCATAGTATATTTTTTTTGTTATTGGGTTGCCATGTTGTCCCTACCCTAAAAACACAAGCTGCTTTCCTAAAGGACTGTCAAGTTTCTTTAAAGGACCAGGATAAAGGAGAGCTGGGATGTTCTTCTACTGCACCCTGGGACTTCCAGTTTGATTTCAGGGAAGACATCTCCTTTTTACCTCGTTCCTGAGCAGAGGATCAGTGGCTGTGAGTAGCAGAGCTTGCTGTGGTTAATCTGTTCATATTATTTAAATTCATATTTAAATAATAGGAAGAGATTTTTGTCTAGATAGCTCCAGCAGAAATCAAGCTACAAGGGAAGAGAGGGGGCAGTGTTTTCTCTGATCTTAATTATCTTCTTACCTTTTTCCCTATTCTCAAATCTACTCACCTCTGCTTATTTTCCCCATTCTCTTGTTCCTGTTTCCTTAGCCCTCTACCTCTCCTAGCAGCCTTATTGCAAACTGGAGCTGTCTCAACATTTGCCATCTGCCATGCTCGGTGGTGCCCACTCTCAGCTGTGGGTAGGAGGATAAGATCTTTGATGTCTTTCTTACAGGCTCAACTCACCAGCATGGTGTGGAAGTCATTATTATTTTGTATTCCAAAGCAAAGATGAAACTCTGATGTCCTTTGAGGTAACTGCAGAGCCATCCTTGGTTTCACATGAATCCCATGTGATGCAGAGCACTACTTTGTCAGAAAAATGCTGAGAATGTGACAGAGTGCCTCCTAAAAGTTCCAAATAACCCAGCAAACAATAAATACAGACCCCTCTTTTTAGCATTTCAATGCTTTTGGAGCTTTCATGATTTTCAGGGTGCAGGATCAGGATTTTGGCTGTATCACACTATTCCCAATAAATGTGACTTCTCTTTGCCATGCACTGTGTCTTGTCAGCTCAGCCCCCAGATCATATAGCATTCCTCTTGCTATTGTACAGTAAATAGCATAGCAGGCTGCTGGCACCTTTTGATGCTGGTGAAAATTATGCTTATTTGACCAAAAAAAAACCCCATAAAATTCATTTTGACCAGCCCATCTGGAAGTTCAGCAAATTCAGCTCCTACTTCTAATGCTAACACACAAGTGACACTGCTGGCTGCAACTATCCAAAAAGATGACATTGAATTTTCATCTGCAGGCAAGCATTTCAGGTCTGGGAAAAGTTGCTTTCCAGGAAGAAAATCAAAATATGGGGTTTTGGTGCAGTTGAACAGGCAAAGACAGTGTGAACAGAAAGGCTTGCAATTTTTAGAGCTGGTGAGCTGCATGTCCTACTTTGGGATCCAGGCAGAGAAGGCTGTGCTGTGGTGTCAAAGGAAAGGAGCCCATGGGAGGCTGTCATTCAATGGAATTGGACAGGAACAGTTGTATGTGGGCTGTGCATGGGGAATATCGAGCCTTTGAGGACTAAGGAGGATATCTGGTTGTGTATAATATGATGAGCTGTATTAAATCTTGCTGCTTATTTTTAAAAAGCCTGGACTCAGTTGACAAAACAGATTTAGGATGCCACGTGCTTTCCTCAGTGTGTCAAAAAGAGGGAGACGGCTTCTACTTAAAAGGCAAGGCAGGAATATCTCTATCCATTAAACATTTTCAAATACTCGTCACTGCATACAGTGTCCAGACTATTCCAGAGATTAAGTCTTCCATTTGTCAGAAGTTATTTTAGTAAATCCCTGGGATTAAGTCCTTTTTGGCAGTACTGGAGTAGTAACAAAGCAAGAGAGAGAGATGGAAAGAAAATTGTCCTAGGGAAATTCATCATCTTCTCTAACCTGAAGTGACTGATCCTTTTTCCACTGGAACACCCCTGACTCAGGGACAGATGGTTCAGCTGGAGTATCTTTATGCAGAGGCAGCATGGAAAGCGAAAAGACACCCTCTTACCTTCCAAATAACACATTCCAAAAACAAACAAAAAATTAAACACTATTGTATCTCATTTCTGACTTGAAACACAAATGTGGGATTATTCCGACTTTCAAAGGATACTGCAAAATGATCACAAGGGAGTAAAAATGCTGCTTCTCCACACAGATTAGTACCCACTTCTGTCATGAAAGGATTACCTCAGCACAGCTAACTGAGAGCTTCGTTTGAAGGTGCAGGAAAAGGACGAGGGCAGATCAAGTCTCCTTTTCTTCCTGGTGACCAGATTTGGAAAGTGCTGAAATCAAAGTGGTGTCCTCCAGCACACGTTTTCATCTTAGGCACACAGTGCAGATACAGATTCATCAGGAAAACTGATGGCACAACATTATGAAATTAGGATTTATCTCTGGTTAAAAGTTAATTATGTTGGAGAAACAGCATGTGTTTGAACACAGGGGCTCTTCCCAGATGATGAAAAGCCCTTGCACTGCCAGATTATTGGGAAATTCTAATGGTGTCGGAGTAGATACAAATCAGTTCAGTGATGATAAACTTATCCAGTGTAAGAATTAGCAGATTTTAAAAGAAGTTTACACAGGCCTTAAATGTCCCACTCCAGATCTGCCCAGAATTAACTTTC